CGCCAACCATCCATATGTTCCGGAGACTGTGTAGAGACCCAATGTCCAGTTTGGCAATTTTAGTTGTCACATGAAGGCATGCCTGCTGATAGTGACGTTTGACGAATATGCGACCAGTGATCTTCGACGTTGTTCAGTGGACGCTTACTCAGCCCAGATGTCAGCACACTTTGATACACATTCAGAACACCTAGTTTCGCCAGCTGGCTGGTGTCAATCCGTTCACATTGACGTTGCTGACGTCCACCGGAACACAGCCGGAGGTCGGCGCAGACAAGTGTGTGGTCAGAGTCCACGCTCGTGCTCTAAATCGAGCGACCGTTTTGGATACAGCCTCTCCAGCGGTAACTGATCTCGACATGATCGACTTGCGTCCATGGCTAGTGCGAAGCTGGTGGGCGCCAAGTCACGTTTCTGCGGGTGCTGTGTCGAAATTTTGCTCATGAGAAAGAGGCGTGCATCTTCACACAACTGTAGCAATCGCTCACAGTTATCATTACGGGAGCCTAGACAATGTTGGCCGCCTAGATGAAGCTCATCAGAGGACAATTTTCCGACTTGGGTGTTTAGATCGCCAGCTAACACCACAGTATCCGGGCTTCTTCTGTCACGAAGGCGATTGTGAAGTTGCTGATAGAAATCATGTTTCACCTAATCAGTGCTACAGTTTGTAGGGACCTAGGTCGCAATGACAAACAAGCACCGTTTGTTCCCGCGCGACTTCATAGCATGGAACGAACCAGCTAATCTAACGGCGCACATCCGACTGTTGACTGGGATCCAGTCGATCAGGGCAGCTTCAGCCCGGGGACTCAAAATAATGCCGATGCCAGCTTGACCGGTATTTGCAGCTGCATCATCGCCAGACAGGCGCAATGAGAATGTGGTGACAGTGTCGCATGTGCGGGATCGCAGGGTAAGCACGGTGCTCGAATCTTGCAGGCGGGTTTCTGATAAACAACCAATATCGATCGATAGGGTCTCTAGTGTTCGGGTAAGTGCTGCCTGTTGGCCAATCTGCAGCAAAGTGCGCAAGTTGAGGCATGCCAGTCTTAGCGAGACACGAGGACTCCAAAGGGAAACGGACTAACTGACGTTGTCCGCTTGTTTGAACATGGACTTGTCGACTAGATTTGAGCGATGCCCTGCGACTTTGTGTGAGTTGAGACTAGAAGACAAGCGACTATTGGAGCGAGGTGGGGGAGGGCCAAAAATTGGGGATTGAAAATGGGGAGATAAAAATATAGTTGGAATGGGATGATAACGATGAAAAGCGCAAGGAGGATGATAAGAAGACGGGAAGGCCTGAGGAGTAGCATCCATACCCATATCCACCCTGCTCGATGCAGAAGATAGTACGACGTTGGTTATCCTCTGCGACGGCCAGAGCAACAAGTAGTCGTTAGAAGAAAGTTCATTGTATTGAGCGGGAAAAATCCTGTCAGGTTCATCTGGCCTAAACAGAAGAACGATTAGGGTTCTCAACTAAAGGTTTTTGTTCAAAACCTTACCGCAAGGTAGCCGGGTTTTGGCAGTGGACTACAGAGAGCCCGTTTTTTGGAGTAAGGAGCCACTCTCACTACAACCCTCAACCTGGAGGGCCAGGAGACTGAATTTGTCTGGGCTCTAACCATTGACCAATCTGGTATGAGTGGCTCTGAAGGTGCAAAAAAGCACCACCCAGCATAGGTCAATGGATCACTGATGCCCATAAACCATCGCACCACGTTAAATTCCAGTCTCGACCACACAGTGCTCATGGCTGATATGGAGTCACCTTTGCCGTATTCACCTCCGCAGGAACCAGCTTACAACTACTGGAAAACAGAGTTCGATGGTCTAACTCGAGCCGCGAGCCCACTGGATTGGTCTCTGTCACAAGCTGCATATCTGGAAGACTGTTGGATATTTATAAACGAGAAATTGGCATCTTTGTGCTTCCAGTTTGGGCCATTGAAATGTCGGAAGGTTTTACCGGTTAAGCCTCATTTTTTGACAGGGATATGGAAATCTGGCCTGGAGGTGGCCCAGACTGTAGGAGAGATTCCTCCTCTCTTGCTTTGCCAATGACTACGAAGGTTATAAAAGTCAGCGGAACCTCTACAACAGTGAAAAAAAGGAATAAACGCCGACATTTCGAAGAGTAGCTCGCAATCGCCACGAAGACTGCCCCAAAGCGAATTTTTGCTTACATGATGCGAATCCTGAAGCCGGCAGGTGATGTGCCAGTGCTGGATGGCCCGGACGGATAGCCCATAATCTCCAGCATTGAGTGTGCGTCCACGTTGGTAGCGCACTTCGCTTCTGTGTTTGCAAATGACCAGGTGTCTGTTTCGAATTCGATGTGTACCGCTTTTACCGAACTCGACAGTCTGGATTGCGGCGTTAGAGAAGTAGGTCAACTACTCGCCAGCCTTGACGCCACCAAACCTGCCAGACCTGATGGGCTTCACCCACTGATTCTCACGTCACTTTCGGCCATCATCTTTCCTGTCGTGACTGATCTTTTCAACACGTCGTTGTCCGAAGGTTCCTTGCTGATTGACGGGAAATGTTCAGTGGTGAAGCCTATTCCGAAAGGCGACGACCCTAGCAAAGTGGACAATTACAGACCAATTTGTCTGATACCTATTTTGGCAAAGGTTGCTGCGAAAATTGTGAAGAAGGAATTGCAGCAATTGCTACATTCAAAAGAAGTCCATACGCTCGCACAGCACGCTTTTATGCAAGGCCGCTCATGCATTACAAACTTGCTTGTGACGAGGCGTGAGTGGTTGAAGGCAGTAAGCAAGGGGAAGTCTGTCGACGTGATATTCGTCGATTTCAGTAAAGCGTTCGACAAAGTCAGCCATGGAATTCTCCTTCACAAACTCAGGATGTGCGATGTCGGTGCCTTACTGCATTAGTGGATCCGCGACTTTCTTGTTGGACGAAAGTGAAGCGTACAAGTCGACGACCATCTAACTGACTGGTATTCCTCTACAAGTGGCGTGCCTCAACGCACTCGGCCTTTGCCCGAGTGATCTGCGCGTTGGGTTTGCAACCATAAGGTCACCGGTTCGAATCCGCGTAGTGGTGGGCGTCCTCGCGATATACTCAGCCCGCGCGCGACTGGTGGTTGCTGCGCGGCGGCGGAGCGCCGTTACGGCGTACAGCTGACACATTATTTATTTCTTATTTTATTATCTCAAGGCACTGTGCTGCAGCCCATTCTGTTCTTGATCCACATTAACGATCTACCTCAGTTTCTCCTGTTGCCGTGTGCCTTGTTTGCGGATGACATGAATATTTGGAGAGTAATTGACCCTGCCGACGACTGTGGCGTACTTCAGCAAGACCTCAACCGCCTATTCACATGGTTTGCAGAAGTTCATCTCCTGGTCAAGTCAGCCAAGTGTGTATTTATGAGCATGAGGAAAGGTGCCGAAGACCGAACCTACACCCTTGACTGCCAACAACTATATCCCACATCCTCCGTGAAGTACCTACGTGTACTCTCGCCTTGCGTTTTGAGGTCCATGGATATCACGAACAGGCTATATGGTAACGGACTGCGCATGCTTTGGGCTCTTAAACCTAGCTTCGGCACATGGTCTGAAGAGGTTGCCACTCTCCTCTTAGTAAAAACGTTAACACCAAAACACCGCACGATTTAATTCCGGACAAATTTCTCTGCATATTCTCAAGTGCGTACCACAAAACACGTGAAATTAATAGCATCATGAAGAGTTACAAATGTTGAAACAGCAAATTCACCAACGTAGGTACACCCACATACACGCGCACTCACGTCTTTGTCAACTCATCAGCTGTCTATTGGTTTACTACCAGGGTAGAGCCAGTGTGACGAACGCGTCCCTCCGCACACACAGACTAGGGTCAATCTGTTTGATTGCGACCGCCTCAGCGTATCTCAGCACATGAGTGCTGTTTGATGAGTAGGTCACACTGAACATACGCGTGGAGTCAAACTGTTTGTCGGTCAGGAGATGGCGGGCGATGGATGACGCAGGCGTCTTAAAAGATTGAGCACTTGCGTTCCTTAGCTGCGCAAGTTGGGTGAAGGACGGGGCTAGGTTCGAAATGGATTCTTGACTCACGCTGGGATATACTCTGCGATTCTCACCCGCAACTGGCGCTCTGTCATGCATATGTAAGTGGCCTTGCAATTACATGTAAATTTGTAAACGATATGTGAATGGCTGGACAGAGGTAGCTGCGGTTTGACCTAAGGTGGGCAAAAGCGCGTCGTTGTGTATACCATTAGATCACTGCTAGAATACGGTTCTCCCGCCTACTTTCCGATTAGCCGAGGCGAGGCACAAAAGATCGAACGGGTTCAACACGTTGCTACCAGGCTCATCCCGAGTTTACGTGGCTTGGGGTATGAAGACCGGTACGAGAAACTGGGACTCTACATCTTGTCCTACCGTCGGGTGCGAGTTGATCTCATTATGACCTATTGTACTCTACATCTCGGTGACTTTCCCGTGCTGAGGCCAATGCTGCACTTACGAGCGTCATGCAGCACACGCGGACACAGATACAAACTTATCGTCCCGGATGTGAAGCGTGTTCCCCATCCACTGTGCTTCGAACGGACAGTGGTAAATATTTGGAACTGTTTGTCTGAACATGTGATTGAAGCAACATCTGTGCAGCAGTTCAAACTTTTGGTAGATTTCTATTTTATCACTATTCGATTCAGAGAACGATTACACACTTACGATGTCATGTCTCATTTGTGAGTCCTTCAGTACCGTGAGTCAGATATCTTAAATGTTACATGAGAACGATAACGACCTTCACGGCTGCCAATTTTTATAACGTTTTTCACCAACTTTTGTAAGAGTTCTACAGAATTCATTTCGATTTGCTCTTTAATACCGTGTTCAGTATTCTCAGACTGTTTTTGTCGAATCTGCACTTTTCTTTTTGCTCACTTGTAGATCAGCCGTGTTCCATTAAAATTCACATTTATATACATGCTTTCCATGTAGCTATTGGCGTTTGCGACAAAATACTGCATGAAGATCGTAATAATCAACGAGCGGACGATTTACGCAAGAAGGCTAGGAAATTGAAAGAGCAAAGTTTGCGTGTAAACTATTACGAAGTTCTCGGTGTCCCTCGGAAAGCGACGAAGCAACAAATTCGTAAGGCTTTTAGGGATCTTTCTCTGACGCACCATCCGGACAGGCATCAGGGCGCAGACAAGGTAGAAGCTGAAAAGAAGTTTACTCTTATAACGACAGCGAGAGACGTCTTACTTGATGACAGTAAGTATCCAATTCTTTTGCCGCTTGTTAGTATCCTCAGATGCTTTTCTCGGATACCATAAATTTTACATGTTTTCTTCCAGTACCATAAAATTTTTCATGTGATTGTTTGTTATTTTCAAGTATCGTAATTCTCTTCCCATGCTGTTGCATGGGGTTACTGTAGTGTTTAGTGAACTTTGTTTCAAGTACGTACCACTCGGCGCATCCCATTGCAGTTGCTGGGTTCATTTATCGTTCCGTAGTTTTTTTCAAATCGCAACTGAAGCCTCTATGCCATATTCATATTTATCATCCTTTCCATTTTCGTTGTCACGTACTAGAGTGACGTGAAAGCATGGAACCGAAATGAATTTTCTATCGCTTAGCTCCTTCATCCTTACTTTTCGCTTTTCGATAATCCCTTGTTGATAACCTCCAGACAGTAGCCAACCATCGTCGGACTAGATTCTCTATGTTGCTTTCCTTTTATGCTCAGGACAGCGATACATACTCTACCACAGCTTCGAACTTGTTTGTTACGTTTATACCACTACGAAACCGGAAGTAGCATCTTGTAATCTACATTTACATGGACTTATCCTGTAGTACGGAGTTGTGCACTCTCTTCGCATGTCCCTTCCTGTTAGCACAAGCAATGACATTTTTCAGATGGGTTTGGGAACACCCAGTTGTTATAGTTAGTGAGTAACGTTTTTCTCACTCACCCGTCTTCTCTCCTCTGTTCTTTTAGAATTGCGAGAAATATACGACAACGGTGGTGACCCACTAAACCCACAGCAACAACAGCAACCATTTAACCATCCATTTAGCCAATTCGGCGGCTTCTCCTTCGCCAACATGAATCCGTTTGGCAATGGCCACTTCGAATTCCATTTTCAATGAAGTGTCTACGGTTCCGTTCACTTCAGTTGCTGCTGTCTTTCCAGTACGCACCCAAGCCTCAGACTCCGTCCCTTCTGCGCACATGTCCGTTGTGAATAGTCCGTTTTCTATTGGCCTATGTTGAGGGCTCATCGGATCCCCATTGTATCAGTCAGTTGACCCATATGCGTTGCACAGCTGCCCTCTATTTTTTCTTGCTTTGTTTTCAATACATCGTTTGCTGAACTACTTTACTTTGTTACAGCTACCCCCTACTCTTTTGTTCATTTCGGTGGCCCATTTTCAGTTAACAGCGGTTGCGGCAGGTTTTTCCTTTTTCCACCAGTAATTGTTTGATTTTCGTGCATTGAAAATGGGTTACGACACAGGACCATTTCATCATATTGGATATGGTCTAACGCATTGCTTTATGACTAATGAATCATCTTCCCGCATTCATCCAAACGGTGAGCCTCTCATCAGTCAGGATTCACGGCCGTACTCACTTCTAGATACCTTGCCCACGTTGCTTTGAACAACAACTTTCTGATTAAGTGTCCATCCCTTTGCCTATCAAGTCATTGTCCGGGCTCGTTCTTGTCACTGGGACCTGTGAAATTTTAAACTGTTTTTACTTTGTCTTCACGTACGACCCAACGGTGCAGACTTGGTGCATCTTTTACTCCAACCCTTACTTGTGTACTGGGTACAGAACCTTCCTCTTATTGGAGCCCATACGACTGATGGCTTGATAGAGTATACCATCGAAAGAAGAAGTTTCAACAAAAAAGGTGTGCGCAGTGGTTGCGCGAGCTGTTCTACTTTTGTCGATAGCTGTCTCCTTGGTTTCGATAACGCACTGTCCCACACGAATCTGGAACGCGTATTCCAAGGGGAACCGTACCATTCGGACAGCCTTCTGCACCTTGCTCCTTATTCTCCATCACTGAACCCAATTGATGGCATTTGGAGCATCATAAATATATATGTGAAGCAAGCTATGAGACAGAGATATTCCGAGATACTCAGGGTGATTCTGAGGGTGTATTCTGCAAGACCGAGTGGGGAATGCGTTTTATGGAGCGAATTGTGTTAGAGGCACGAGCCTGTATCACGTCTCGGCATTGTCTACACATGGTAGATCATGTGAGTAGGAATTACTCTGGTACAATGCACTGTACTGACTTGTAAATCGCTCTTATTTTATTGATATAAATGCACACAATTTGAACCGGTGTTGTCACTCCTATACATGCATCATTTCGACCTTCAGATATAAACGATGATGTTCAGGCTAAGTACTTTCGCAGAGAGTTCTCGCATGTTCCCTCGTTAGATGTTGGGAGACAACCAGAGGGTATACGATGATTCCTGGCAATCAGGACTACATTGCTGCTAATGTCGCGAGGTCGTGTGTTGTTAGGTACGGTTGTGTCGCCAGTTCATGGAGTGGGAATGGTACGTAGTTGGTATCACGAGAGGACTACCGTGCGCAGAAAACGAAAAGCTCAGTTGTTCATTATTGTAAGATGGGAGGAAAGCATAACTTTACATGACACACAGGATGGAAGATGCACAAGAAAGTTAACATCGGAAATATCCCAAAGTGGAATGTGTATCCTCAGTAGTAAAGACATCGCACTTTATCGCGCTGTTGCGTAGCGTTTAGCACTAAGATGAAGGTCTAGCATTCTATCGAATGTCGTAATATCTGGTGCGTTCACCACATGTGTTGGTAGGGCATTCCAGTGGGAACCGATTCTAAGAGAGTAAAAATACTTCCTGCAATCCAAACGGGGTGTTGTGTCACTAGTTTCAGGTGATGGCCTCGACACTGTTTGTAAGAGGCTAAGATCAGCAGTGATGCACTGGGGTGCTCGCTTACAGATTTTATCCGGTATGTGAGGACGAAAACCCCTGACTAAGCCTGAACCGCATATTCAACATGGGGACGAAGATATGTGTTGATCAACAGTGGTACTAACCGTCGCTCAAAGGTGTCGAGGTCGCCTCAAAAGCCTCAAGTCCATGTTCACCACATTCGATGTGTTCGAGCATTGGAGCGTACTCCCAAGACTCTCTTGGACGATGATAACTAAGCATCGTTCACTAGTCACCTGCTACAAAACGTGCTGTCCAAAAAGATATATTTTGCTGATGCTGATACGCACCGGCAGCAGGCCCAGTGAGACCTAGTCCCTTTCTGCCCATTCGTTAATCCTGTCCAGATCGTTCTGGAGATAGGCACGGTCGGATGCTGAGCGAATCGCTCATCATATTTTAGTATCATCTGCAAATATCTGCATCGGGGATAAAATGATTTCTAGGAGATCATTTATGTGAACTGAAAACAGTACCGGGATGAGGACAGATTCTTTTGGTACACCATTCGATACGCACAGGCTTCCGGAGTGAATGCAGCGTATTCTTATCTTGATGGCTCTGTCTTGTAGGTAATCTTTCGAACAGGTGAGCAGGGAAACGGTAATAGCAAGCTTTTGGAGAAGAACGAAGTTATTGGCCCTGACGAATGTTAAAAATCTAAATAAACCACGTCTATGAGGACACTTTCATCGGCTGCCCTGGTCCATGAATCCAGGACAAGGCGCAGATTGCTGAGGCAAGATTGTCTGCATCTGAAGCCATGTCGGACATCGGGAATTATTTGCAAACATTCAAAATATCGCGTCAGTTCATCTGTAATTACTGATTCCATCACTTTTGATATAACTGGTAGGAGAATAATTGGTCGGTAGTTGGCAGAATCCGATCTCTTATCTGCTTTGTATATCGGATTGATGATTCCACGTTTCCACTCAGATGGGAGTCAAACAGACCCTTGAAAACGTCCACAAAATATACTGGTATGGTGGGCGTAAGAGTTTTAACTACTTTTGGACTGATCTCCTTGATTCCCGTGGCACTGTTTTCCCGTAGAGACTATAATTTGTTCATGACAGCCTCTGGAGTAAAGGTGACACTGGTTATGCTGACAGCATTGGTTGGGAGTTGATAGAGTAAAGGCTCCATGACGTTTGTAGCCATCGAGCCAAACTGTAGGAGTAGAGCTTTCGCGGTATCCACAGCAATAGTCGTTAATCCGCTGGCCATCTTGAGCGGTGGTATTCCAGGTTTTATTTTTCTTTTCTCCTTCGCATACCTGTATAGCAGTTTGCTGTGACTCGCAAACTTGAGTACCATGTTCTCCTGCCATTCGTACTTGTCTTCCCTAATACATGAAATTGTTCTGTAATTCTTCCATGTGGTATCCCATGGGCTTAGCGTATGTTGCTTCCAAATCTCATCTCTTCTGTTGATCCATTTACGTGTTCTGCTTCGGATCCACATATTGGTCCGGCGTAAGACTTGTAGTGGCACAACTTTTGAGGCTGTTTGTATGGCCCAGTTAACTTTTACCTTTCATTTCATTCCATGCGTCGTTCGCCGAACTGTAGACTCCAGTCAGGGGCTGTCTCTAAGTTGTGAAGCTTGGAATAGTCAGTAATAGTTCCTTGGGTTTTGCGTTCTTTATCAACCATACTTGCATAACACACACGACTAAATGTTAGAGCTGAATGGGCGCTATTGCTTAGAGGAGGGTCGTGTGCGACCGCTTCAACCATCAACTCTTGATTTCTCATGATTAGGTCCAGTAATGATGGTTGGTTTGAACCACGGTGTCTGCTTGGTTGATGCAATTGTTAAACAAAGCTGTCACATCTACGGATTCCAGAAGTTTTGATTAAAATTATGGCATATCAGGTGACACTGAGACAATTGAAGGTACATATTATAGAGTAATGAGAGTATTTTTTTAAACTGCATAGTGGTGTGCGTTTAACAGAAGGTCATCTTTGTCTGCGGAGGAGTTCGGTGACCTGTAGACAACTGCTGAGCAGCGAGAATCCCTCGTCTTCTGTGATTCACCATCTTGACCTGCTAGCTGCAGTAGGCAAAATAATGCGTCCAGAATAACTAGCGAATGTTCGGTAGTGATTCCACATTTAAGATAATCTCGATAGTAAATGCTAACACCAGCACTACGAGATGGACGATCATTGCACTCAGTTCAATCTCTGAATCTAGTATATTCGAGAGCCAAATTTCAGTCACTGCTACGATGTCCCAATTTTATGTTTCACATCGATGGCGCACATCTGGCAGCTTAGAATGCAGGCCCTGAGCGGCGGTGAAGCAGCATTGTACTTGTTGACGAATTAGGAGTTCGGTTCACTGGGAGTGACCGGTGCAAATAGTGCCGGTCTGCTGGCCTTTATTGAAACGTGAGTTTTTACAGTTGATTGGTCTGAATTAGGAACAACCGAACATGACTCTTTTGTGGCTGGCATTCGTACTGCTTAAAGAAATGGGCTTACGCGCACTGCTGGAAGCCCAAGTTTCCTGTTGTCATGCAATCCTGGGAGTACCACTGTTACCATCTCGGGCGTAGCCAAGGAAACTTTCAAAATTCTTGACCCGACGCCATGGTGGTTGGTGGAGGCAACTAGATGGGAGACGTTAAAAGCGACGGCACTCTGCATGGTATAGAGTTCCGTGATGTACCTCCACTCTTCAATGTCGGGCTTTTGTCATTCAGTTGTCGTCATGCTTTACTTCTGGTACGCTACGAACCAGCACCACTTTATTCGCCTCATTTCGTTGTAATCGGAGATCCCTATGTTTAGCATCATTACGCAAATCTCAAGTTCAATAATACAGTCCCGACAACGCAATCATATGCCTCCGCTCAAAGCCCTCAACATCGGGTGCTGCAACATGCGCACACGGCTCGACCGGCACACGAGTGAGCGACCCGAGCGATGCAGGGCACAAGTCACAATGGAACTCGCGCGCTACGGAATCGACATTGCCGCACTCAGCGAGACTTTGCTCGCTGATCAAGACAGGCTGCATGCGGCTGATACAGGATACACGTTCTTTTGGGTGAAGAATGCCACCTCAGCACCACGTAAACACGAGTTGGGTTTGCACTATTCGACCAACTAAATGGATAGCTGGTGGCAGAGCCAACCGTTATCAGCCCACGACTGATGACACTTCGCCTGCGACTTAGAAAAAGTATATTTGCCACTTTTAGTAACATTTATGGTCCCACTATTGTGTTATACTGATGACACGACGGACCAGCTCCACACTCCGTTGCACTCCGGGATACTGTCTGTGCCGAGGAGCGACCTGTTATTTCTACTGAGTGATTTCATCTTGCGCGTTGGGCGTGATGTTGCGGTGTGGACAGAAGGCATCTGTCCGTATGGTATTGGTACATCGATTGAGAACGGTGACCGGCTGCTCTCACTGTGTGCTACTCACGGCCTGATGATCACCAACTCCCAGTTTGCACTGGGTGCGCGTGACGTAGTAACTTGGACGCACACACAGAATGGGCATACTCACCTGCTCGACTATGTCACCGTACGTCAGCGTGACCCGTGTACTGCGTGGAGCTAAGTGTGGCCGTGATCACAACTTGGTGCCGACCAAACTGTACATATATTTTCATAAATCTATGTGCTACCCATCTGCGATAACCAGCGCAAGTTTAGGGCTCAATCAATAGGTAGTACCTTTTTAAAGAATGGGGTTTATGCACCCAGAATGGGTGAATATTTAGAAAAGCGGTTGAAAATGGAGCCAGAGAGATGGCTACCCGCCTTTTGCAATCTTGAATCCATAGCCTACATGAACGAGCTGTGGTGCTACGTCCATGAACAGTTGACTGATGTGGCCGATAAAAGTATCGGGGGCGCAATCTGTAAGCGGCCTGATTGCTTTGACGACATAAGTGCGACTATTGGCGCATAGGTATCGGCAAAGAATGCAGTGTTCGCTGCACATGTGGCGGACTCTGTCTACTCCGAGAATGAGAGTCCTTTTTGCAAACTGCGATGACCATTAACTCTAGCGCTCCTTCGCATCAAAAGGCTTGGTGGACCGAGAAGGCGAAGCAGATGGAATGCTACGCCGAACGCTGATAACCTAAGCAATTCCTTGATCCCCTGAAGGCGGTTTGTGGGCCATCTAGCTGTCGAAGATAACCCTGCTCGATGTTACTTCAGACGCTGGCCGCACACAGAACGCGGACATAATGCAGCTCTGGGGAA